CACACACACACACAGCACACACACATACACACACAGCACACACACACACACACACAGCACACACACACACACAACACACACACAGCACACACACACACAGAACTTGGCCAGCACCAACCGCTGTGCCATCCATCCATGCATCCATCCGTCCTTTTGTAACCACTAATCCTATTATTATGGGCCGCAGGGAGTCCAGAGTATATCCTGGAGGCCATAGACACAAGGCAGGGAACAACCCAGGATGGAACGCCAAGAGATCACAGGGCACTCACACACCACTCAAAGCTATGCCGTTAGATGTTATTTGGTATACAGTGAAGGATGTCATTCCTCATATACCCATATAAGCAACAACTTTGTCACGGTTCGTCCTACATTAATAGCCACACGCAGGTATGCAGATATGAAGCCACTCTTAGTATGTCCCCTCCTGCATGACACTGTAAAGCATCATGGGTATGATGCATGCGTGTGGTGACGCGTGGTGTTGGGGTGAGTGTGGGGGGAGGCTGTTACAGGGGGTTAGGGCTCTGCAGTGGGAACATGTAATATCCTCTCAGCCTTCCCCTTGGCCAGTACTGATTAATGGAAGCAACCATTCCCTGTTTATAAGTGCCTGGTGAATTCGCTGGGCTGTATGAAACATTAACCAGAGTGCCATCGACCATGACTCAGGAGCGATACCTGTAAATGCACGTAATCGTAGTCTTCCATCCAGCCTTCCTCCGTGGTGTCATACGGCCTCTCCTGGGACTCCTCCTCTGTCGTGAACTTGGGTGGTGAGGGGAGGGGGCGGGACTGGATATTGGTCCTCTCGGGCAGCCCCGTCTGATAGGCTGAGATGTTATTGTTGTTGCCCGGGGCCTCAACAGGCTGCTGCTTGGCCTTCCTGAACAGCAGCGTGGCATTGCCGTGCAGGAAGGAGGCCAGCTGTTTAGTGTCGTCTGGCACGCCCCGTGAGCACATGACCAGGCGGTCCAGGTCGTCGCCGCCAGGGGGCGGGGCCAGCAGGGCACCCAGGGCCCAGCCCGTGCCTTCCAGCGACTGGCTGTGCTGCAGGAGGCCCTGGTACCCCTCTTCCATCTTGTGGAGCTGCCTGCTCAGCTTGGCCTGCAGCGTGCGGTCGGGTGCCAGGGCGGCGTTGGCCACAGCGCCACGGGCGAACTCCAGCAGCTCCCCGACGGACACCTTCACGCGCTCAACGGCCTGCCGTAGCGCCGGGAGGCTGGCCTCCATCTGCTGGGCGCTGCGCCAGTTCCCGCTGACGAAGGACATCAGCAAGGAGACGGAGCCCTGCACGGCCTGCTGCAGGCGCGCCAGCCGCTCCATGGCCGGCTCCAGCTCCAGGTTCAGGCGGCCCGCGCCGGCCGAGGAGGAGCACGACGACGACTCCTTGACGGGCACCAGGTCCAGGGAGGAGGTGGAGAGATTGCTACGCGTGCTGCCCGTGCTGGAGGCCGAGAGGCGCTTGAAGCTGACACTAAGCTCTTCAGCGCCCCCTGTCGCCGAGGCTGCGTCACGCACTACCTGCGGCGGCACGTCGTACACATAGTCGTCGGCGTCTTCACTGCCGGCCGGTCGCTCGCGTGGGAAGTCGTAGATGTCCTGGGGCCCGCAGGAGACACCAGGCCTCAGGCTGGCCGGGATGTCGTAGACCTCCTGGCCGAGAGCCGGGCCGTCCGAGGGCCACCTGCCCGGCAGAGTGGGGGGCGGCACGTCGTACACGTCCTCAGGGGCCGTGCTGGGACCTGGGGTCTTGCTTTCGGGGCTCGCCGCCTTCACGAAGTGGGGGGGCACGTCATACGTCTCTTCCCTGATGGGGCCGTCTGGCACGTCCTTGCTGACGGAGGGAGGGAAGTCGTACACCTGAGGGGGGGCAGAGAGGCATGACCTGTGAGTGCCTGGGCGAAAGTGGCCGTTCCAGGATTGGGGGGGGGGGGTACAGAGACAAAGTCTAACCGTTTGCTGGGACAGAGCTTGGCTCTTGTCTATGCTGGGCGGAGTGTCATAGATCTCCTGGCCACTGTCTTGCCTTGGGGGTCCCTTCACGGCCATGGGGGGCGTGTCGTACACCTAGAGAGGGGGGAAGAGGGTTAAAATCATCCTCACATGTACACAACAATCACATGGCCCTGGCTGGCAGCCCGGGGACACGCGGCATCTGTCCCAGAGCGGCACGCAGCCAGATATCACTGAATCACGCAGACAGAGCAATTACCCACGACACTGCAGCACCGGCTGCAATTCCTCACGCTGACACTCGGAGGTGCTACAGGCAGCGGAATGACCGGGTTCAATCACGGCAGCTGGATCTGGCCAGTTCAGGAGTGAACCCAAAACCAAGGCGGCTAATTAAATCAAGCTCTCAAGAGCTCATCAGCGTGATTCACTTTAATGAGAAGCTAATGGGGAGGGGCTGTTTTTCTGTCTTAATCTCTAGCCCAGGGGGGGCAATCTTATCCGCAACGGGCCGGTGTGTATGCAGGTTTTTGGGATAACCTGTAGGTCAGCTGTTCATACCCAGGTGTGAGGACTCTTCAGCCAATCAGTCCTCTAATTAGTAATCTAATTAGGGAGCTGCAGCGAAAACCCGCATACACACCGGCCCTTTGCGGATAAGATTGGCTACCCCTGCTCTAGCCGCACCGTCTTACCAGAAAATTCTATCATCCCCTCTCTGCCACCTCGCTCTTGCATGTCTGCTCTGAGTGGGCGAAACGTTCAGGTGCGTGGGGGGGGGATGCTTGACAGCGACATTGATTCCCGCGGCAGGAAGGCCGTGCTTCACACCTCCGGTGAGGAATGGATTTCCTGTCGGTGGGCTGGGTGCGCAGCCCCGGAACGGAGCGGCGGAAGTGGGCCGATGCCCGCTGCAGCTCACTGCACAAGTCTAATATAACGGGGGCTTCTGGTTTGCATCCCTGAGAGGAGACCTGGGCCACGGTGTCAAGGACGTGCAGCAACAGTGACATGACACTTTGTCCTCTGAAGGTGCTTAGGGCTTCAGCAATGCTGGTATAGTGCAGTCCGGGACATTACCCATTCAGTCGTTCATTCATTCATTTATTCATTCAGTTGCCAGTTGGCTTATCAAGCTGACACTTACATATGAATATGAATAGACCATAAATAAATGAAAAGCGACTGCTGGCTTTGCTATCGAGTCCACATTTCATAATCTCGCGAGGGGTCATGTGGGGTTATCTGTCCCCGCAGGATAGCAGAATCTATCCGTGAGCTTGAACACGCAGACACCAGTTCACGGCCCGCACGCGCTGCCGCGCACACGCATTTGCACGCGCACGTACGCAGTCAGCTTCACAGCGATATACATATTCATGCTGAGGCGTGTTCTGCTGATTGAGGCCGTGCGAGATCAATGCAGATCTGCGTGAGGAATACCAAAGACCGACGGGGTGTGCCCTTGTCGAGTGACAGACAGGCTCCCTGGCTGCTCCTTAATCCCCATTAAAATGCATAGAACACCCCCCCCCCACCCCATTGAGACTCATGGGTAAAAAGAACCTCAAAGTCACACACCATGAAAAGTTTGCTGCTCCAAGTTGACCAGAAAAATGAAGTAAATCTGTCCCCCAGCCCACACGAGAGATCTTCTCTGCTCCCAGGGATCGAATTGGATCAGGTCGGATCGAATTGGATCAGATTGGATCGAATTGGATCAGATTAGATCCGATCTGATCAATTCAAATCAATTTATTTATCAAAAGCTCAACAGTTCAGCAAACCGTGGTAGATGTACGCAACGAAGTGAGTTTCCCTGAGAACTACCACATATGAATGTGTCATAAATAAATGAAAAGGGTCTGACGGCTTGTTACCGAATCCACCCCAGCCATGAGGCGCCTATGAATATTGGCGTGACCACAAGGCCCTGGCGTTCAGCTGCCTGCCCGCTGCCGGGCACCGGCTAAGCTCTCCACAGAGCAGCCAGCAGGTGGCACAGTGACTAAGGACACACAGGTATATCCAGGATGGATTCCAGGAGCTGTTCCGGCTGTTGTACCCTTGAGAAAGGTGTTTAACGTGAACCAGGCCGGCAGGATATGCAGCTGAATAAATGAGTGGAATCAGCAAGGTGATTTTGGGGGAAAAACTGGCCATTAAAAACCCCCCATCAGACTCAGAAGGGGGATGGAAACAGAGGAGCGCCCCCTATGTCTCCCCATCCGTCTGTGCTACCTCGGGCTCCCCGTCACGGTGGGTTGGGCTCCCTGCCCCCCCCCTCCCTCCTCAGGGCCGCTTTAGGGTGTCGTAGCCCATTTCCCATTTCAAACGGCAAAGTGTGGAAGTACGACTTTTATTGTCATATTAAACACATTGTTTCTCCGAGGCCAAGCTGTGAAAAGCTGCCTCCGGACACAGAAATCTACCCCCAAATGACCCCTCCAAAAAGAGGACTGAAGCTACAGCTCACCCGTGCAGCGAGATCCAAACTGCGCAGCATGAAATATTTATGGGGAATTAAACTCTCTGTGGGAGCAGGACGGCTCTGGACACCTGAGCCAGCAGAAAACAGAGGTGACCTCTGGGTCGACGGGTTCCGGGTCGAAGAACCAGCGACGCCTGAGAGTGTTGAGACAGACCCTGAATGGGCAACACTGCAGTGACTGGGGCATCTTGGGGGAGGCTGGAGCTGAATATCTTTGCCTGCCACCACTTAGGGGTTTGCGAACAGCCGGATGAAAATATCCACTTTTATTATTCATATTAGAATGACCTACTTTGCCCTTGCATCCTCCATGAATCATTAATGCAATTTTTATGACCATATGCAGCCTGCATACACACTGAAGCCCCCCCGGTCCGCTGTATGTATGGAACTCATGGTGCTGTTCTTACCTGCTGGTTGTACTGGTTCCGGGTTGGGGGCACATCATAGATGTCCTGGGATAGTGCGAGATGCCGTGGGACGTCGTACTCGTCTTGCTCCGTCTTCCCCGTTTCATACACGTACACCTGTCCAATTCGAGTGGGCACCACCACCTATGGGGGGTGGGGGGTGGAGGGGGGAGGGAAGATGGAGTCTGTGACCAGCAGGCCCTAGGCAAAGCTTCTCTTGGGAGGCCCTGATTCATGGGCCCCGGGCAACAGCCTGTTCTGCCCATGGCTAGTGGCTAGAGCCGGGCCCTGCCTGTCACGGAGCCTGAGAGAGACTGGAAACCGAGGTGACAGAAGTCCCCGTGATAGTGTGACTGCACCCTGCCCAGCGCTGTTAGTCGTCATGGAAGCACTGACCAGCAGCACGTCGCTATCAGCATTAGCGTGAGTGCTAACCGACAGCACAGTATGGGAGCAGTACAGGCTGCTCACCTTGCATCACCAAGGCCTCCTCACACACATCTACATACCGCTGCTTGGTGGAATTAGCTCACGCCGGCATCCCTGGTTAGCAGAGCAGTCGGTTCCAACACTTTTAGCATTTAGCATTCACCCCCCCCACACTCACTGCATGGGCGCCAAGACCCATCTGTTGATTCGCACTGGCCAGCGCTCCATTCAGGGTCTGAAAGGTGGCCCCAAATTGGTGTCATGGGTCCTGACCTCCTGCTGACGAATGAAGATGAGATATGCAGCAACATCGACTTTCAGCTGCCCAGTATCTCCAAACGCCCACCAGTATGTGACACCACGTCGGTAAACATTACCAGTAAAAAACCCTCAGCCCACTAGCAGATCCATGCCACTACTGTGGAGATAATGCAAGCCATCTTGCACCGTGACTGTGATGTGAATCAAGTGTGAAGAACGGCTTGGGGGGGGGGGGGGTGCAAGAGAAGTGAGACAGGAGGGCAGTGGGACTGATAAGGTGCCGCATTCTGAAATGTCACCACAAGGTTCCAGGAAGACACGTGTGTTACATCACTGCGGTGGTCTACTAGTGTGAGGTGTGACCTCCACGGCTCGTTTGCGGTTTCCCGTTCACATTTGGAGGGGTGGGGGGTCTCCATGCTGGGGCGCAGTGCATTATTGGCTGGCAGGAAAAAGCTGTCACACAAAAGTTCTGCGGACTAAACTGCAGCATGAGAAACGACCATCAGGATAACGTACGTGAACGAGGTGGACTGCTGAAAATGTGCCGAGCTCGGCAGCCGGATCCCAGAGGAGCTGTCAGGCCCAATCCCCACCTCCTATCGCCCACCCCTGTAACCCCCCCGTGAGCTGAGACTCCCCTATATCTCAGAAGGGAGGCAATTATCCAAACATCTCACCGGGTCATTTTACTGAAGAAATTCTAATCAAATGTACAACAACAAGGAATCTTTAGCTGAAAACACCTGGTGTCAAGTGGCACTATTCGGGTTACAAGTCCCAAAGGTATCCCAGTTTCCCGCGCGCAATGAGTTGCATTTACCATCATGCAAAAATAATGAAAACGGCAAGGAATGCAAGTTTCCGAGCGACAACTTCGACACAACGTTATTTATTAATGAGGGGGTGGAAGTACACAAAGACCCGCCATTTTCCCTCAAAGTGATCAAAGCTGTTTCATTCGCCAGATAAAACAATGTGACCAGTGATTACACATGGTAATCTGGCTAACGGATCTGGCTATGGCATTTCTGCCTACGCTGCTGATCTGTAGCCATGGAAACCAATAAGAGTGACGGCAGCCCCCATTGCGGGAAGCTCACACAGAACGGTGTGCAGAGCTGGTCCCGGGTACTGTGGGTGAGCATGCAGAGTGCTTCCTCTGCACCCACAGCTCCCCCGGGCTCATGCTCGTCAGCCGAATTAAATGGTGATTGAATTATGGGAGAAAACTGCCCGTGGCCCCGAAGATGTAGCACAGCAGCATGCAGGTCAGGTGACAGATCTGGAGGGAACCCAGCGGGACCAAGCACAGCTGCACGTCAAATGGCTCACACATTTGTGCAAACTGTGAAAAGAAATTAATTTCAGCTAGTGCAGGCATGAAGTCACAGCACAGAGGTACATTTCTATGCAGAGCACAGAGCTATGCCTCTACAAAGAGCACAGAGCTACAGCTCAATGGAGAGCACAGAGCTACAACTGTACATAGAGCACAGTGCTACAGCTCTACTCAGGGCACATAGCTATATCTCTATGCAGGGCACAGAGCTACACCTTTATGCAGAGCACAGCGCTACAGCTCTATGTAGAGCACAGTTACAACTGTACATGAAGCACAGCACTTCAACTCATAGCACAGAGCTACACTTCAACTCAGAGCACAAGGCTACACCTCTATGTAGAGCACAGAGCTACACCTATGCACAGAGATACACCACTACACAGAGCACGTGGCTACACCTCTATGTAGAGCACAGAGCTACACCTATGCATAGAGATACACCACTACACAGAGCACGTGGCTACACCTCTATGTAGAGC